GAGAGAGAGAGAGAGAGAGAGAGAGAGAGAGAGAGAGGGAGGAAGAGAGAGGAGATTGTGTTATGAGCCTTTTAACTTTGATTTATTGGAATTAAAACCCGACAACATACAGGAGTGAGGAAGTCAAACGTTTGCCTTATTTTCCTGCGACCACACAGAGGAGGACCCCCCCCCCTACACACAGCACATCCTACGGGTCAGTTAACACGACTGGTCACGTGAGCTCAGGGTTAAAACTATTATCTCCATGCTGGGATATAAAACAGGGTTTGTCAACCTCAGACAGGCTTTTTCAGCTCAGCTACAGGCTGAATAACTGACTGATGTTTAACTGAATTTTACACCAAGAAAAGAGTCTGTCTATAAACAGCAAATACAAACACTCATTTTGCTATAATGATAAAACTGAAAAAAGCTCCAATTCTCATGTACAACAAAGTAGAGCTGAAACAATGAGTCGGTTCATCTTGGACTACAGTTTAGGATTATTTTCTATATATATTATTATTAATCATTTGTGAGACCACTTAAATCACACTGTGGTCAGATTCTCAGAAATGTTTTCTTCTGTTCAGACGAAGCAGCAGAAGCAGCAGCTCCTGCTGTGTTTAGGCTGCGCTGTTATCGGCCTGCTGTTTCTCACAGGTCATCAAGTGTGTTTTTGTTCACGCTGCCGTTGGCTGTGTTCACAACAAAGAGGAACAATACAAGGAGCCAACTCATTTCCTTGTTTGCGCAGGGAGGCAGTCATGAGACCTGCTGTTTACATTTTTATAGCGTTTCTGATTTTCTGCCTCCTCCACCTCCAGCTGGAGACTTTGTGTTGTACAGCTGTGGCTAATGATTGTTTTCATTATTAATGAATCTGCTTGTTGTTTTTGCAATTATTCAGTCTTTCCTCTAGTCTATTAAATGTCATAGAATAGTAAAAGAAGTACACCGTAAATTCTCATTTAATCAGACAAAAGCCCAGAAAAAATTAATGACTTTTTGTGATCACAGTAGCTCAAATTAACCCTGGATCAGTTTGAGTTTGGGCTCAAGCAAGCCAGACTTGATCACAATAAAAGCAGTTTTTCTAGGCTTCCTGTCAGTGGCTAAGAAAGCAGCAGTGACAGACTTGTTATCAGCACAGAGAGTTAATCTTTGATGAGGGGCTCATTACTGCTTCAACACTGGACTCTTTAAACATAACAACTGTAACTGACAATTATTTTTTTCTAAAGGATTATTTTTTTGATTAATCGTTTGATCCATCAAATGTCAAAAAAAGTAAAAAATTAACATAAGACAACAGTTTAAAATCCAAAGATATTATGTGTCATGAAAACAGAAAAGCAGCAGATCCTCACGCTGATGGAGCTGGACCTCAAGAATGTTTTCTGAACAAATTTGATTTGATTATTTTTCTGTCAATTCAGTTTTACATATAAACACCTGCATATTATACAGGGTTTTTCTTCAGTCCTTAGTGTTTTCTTTTCTTTTATTACCTCGTCCCTCTGCTGAGTTACTGTACACACAAGTTGCTGTTCACTTAAGTTTCAATAAAGTTTACTGGGGTGGGTGGGTGGGTGGGTGTGTGTGTGTGTGTGTGTGTGTGTGTGTGAACTCTAACCACAACATGTTTTTACGGGACAGAAAGTATCAGACTTTACTGCTCAGCGTAGCCATTTCCCTTCACCAGAGGCCTCTGTCTTGCCAACGCTTCAATGAATGCAGTGGTTTCCCTCCCCCTCTCTCCCTCCCCCTCTCTCCCTCCTCCCTCCTCCACACGGTCTGGTTGTTTGACAACAGCAGCGGCAGTGCAGGAATGTCTGCCGTACAACGTGACACACATATCAAAGCGTGAAAGTCCTTTGCTGCTATTGTGCAAGGAGCCACTGAGTGCACGCTGTTCTTTGTCTCCTCTCAGTTTATTCTGCAGAACCAGGTTTGGGGAGCGTCACTCACTGATGTCAGGTAGTCAAAAAGTCGGATTTCAGAAGAAGATCGAATTAAGATTTGGGAATCAATCCTATAGGGAAAAATTCAATATATAATCCTATAGGATATATCCTTTAATCCTAGGGGATAAAATCTAAAATGTCACGTGACTGGGTTGGAGTTTCCCCATTGGCCGCTCAAAATGATTTGGCCAAAACAGTTTCTATTAGGGAGGGTTCACAGTCTGCAGTGTCGTCAGTTTATCACATTTGTTGCTAGATTGAGACTTAGAAAGCCTGGGGGGGGGCTCCAAGATGACCTGTACTTGATTCCCAATTCTAGTTTCTGAATTTGTTGATTTCAGCTCATGTGATGAAGCATCTTTGCTGTTATTTTGAAAGAGGCCTAAATGAATACAAGACTTCTGGCCTGTTGTATTATTGTGGGCCTGAAGTTCAATGTCACAATATAAGAGATTACTGTCGCAACAACTTTTCACAGCATCTGGTCACAACAGCTTTTTCTCTTCATACAGGAAACACTAAACGTTTCCTGAATGAATTCACTTATATATATATATATACACTAGTAGTTGATATAAGCACCTGTTCACCTGTCTGCTGGGGGTGGAGAGAGGGTGAGTGGGTCACTGTATTTTGGTTGGACGCCACTTTCTTTTGATCGCTGTGGTTATTTTGTGCACAATATAATGAGTTGATCCTTTTGTTAATAAAGGTTTTTTTTTCTTTCACATATTTTGGACTGGCAGCAGATCTTTTTGATAGCGTGTCAGAAAAATCAAACCAGGCCCGACCTCAGCCTCTCAGCGACTTTTAGTTTGTTTCCTGAAGTCGCTACACAGCCTTAATCTAAATCCTACCATTAAACCCTCGCTTATGATGACAAATTTGAGGAAGAATCAAATTCCAACCAGAGTCATGTTCATCAGCTGAAACCAACTGAACGCTCCTATAACAGGTGCAGGACTATCTTAAATCCTGGACATCTGTGTTTTCTTACAGATCTTGAAGCAGCAGCGTCAACATGGTCGTGGCTCTGCACTGATGACCGAGGACAGAAGACGCCATTGGTCTCAGCTCACAGTCTGAATCAGAGCACAAGGAGAATCAGGCCACTGCCCCCCCCCCCCCCCCCCCCACACCCCAAAAGCGCGCGTTTCACCCCCCCCGACAGAATCACACTGACGGAGAGGAGACAAACACAACACCACCGACTCAGATACATACAGATTACAGCTGAAACCATTGGTCACTTAACAGGTTAGTAACTCAACATTTATCAAGCAAAAACACACAAACATTTTCTGGTACCAGGCTCTCAAATGTGAAGATTTTCTTATTTTCTTTGATTTATATCATCACAAACTGAATATATTTGAGTTTGGTCTGAGTAGATGAGTAGAATTTATAAAAAACATGACAGTAAAACTATTTCTTCAGGGGATAAATGTGAAAGTGAAAGGATGAGGAGGCAGCACATTGATCACATCAGTTTCCATGTGTGAGGAGTTTTTTTTTAAAAATTTTTATCAGTATCGTTTCCTCCTTCGTTTCCAAGAAAGCCTCGTATTTTGGTGGATTCTTCTGGTTTCTTTGGGAATAAAACTGGGGATCTTCTGTTTGGAAACAGGCAATAGATTTGTTTTCGGATGTACACTACTGGTGTTAGTATAGTATAGTTAGTATAGTACTCTTACACAGGAGAGATCAGAGGTCAGGGGTTGCATAGATGGGCCCCAGAGGAGCTAGTAGGAAGTGGGTGTCTTGCATGAAGGCACTTCAGCAGGATGTGCTTGAGCCCTTGCTGTTTTAAAGGGGCTGAAACTAATGATTATTGTCATCTTAATTCATCAGGTGATTAGACATTGATAATAACTTTATCAATAAAATGTCAGAAAACAGTGAAGAATATCTGCTCTAATTTGGTCTTCTAAAATCAAAGTTAACACAAAGAAAATCAGTAAATCTTCAAATGTAAGAAGCTGAATCAGTGAATCTGGCATCAAACTGTTTGTTTTTTTCACCAAACAGACCAAAACCCAAAGATATGACGACACAAACAGAAAAGAAGTGAAATCCTGAACTCATTTGAGTTCAGCAGCTCTTCTTGACAACTCGACCAATCAACTCATGACTTAATGGAGTTACAATATAAACTGTGGTTTGTTTGCTACATTTGTGAGATTATTTCTGCCTGTGGAGCAGCTCTGTCATAATGTCACAAAAACTCCAGTTGAGTTTATTCATCCACCCCAAAATAACAAATCACAAATTTGCCTTAAGGGACTTTACCGTCTGTACAACGCACAGATGAGTGTATGTAAATGACGTGCTCCAGTTTCATTGGCCTGTGCTTCCTCCTCATTGTTGTATCTGAGGGTTCAGCAGCGTCCAAGTAACATCAAGGTGAGTGAGTCACTGCAGTGACACAACAATGGTCTCTAAACACAGGAATCAGTTACCAGACATATTCTCAGTTTACACTCCCGTTTCAGTTTCCTGTGACAAACAAAAGAAGCAAATTCTCACGTTTGCTGGAACCAGAGAGCATCTGAAAAATGACTGAAAATGACTGATTATTGAAAGAACTGCAGATTAAATCTCTGTAAACTGACTAATTTATTAATCGACCATAATCAAAACCAAAATAAACCATCTCCCTGACTCTCTAAAGTCATGAGCCGTTCCTTTGTGATTTAGGAAAAACTTCCATCACTTAGCTCCTGAGACAGTCTCTAAACGTAACTTAACCACCCCGACAGACCAGCTGAGCTGAGCCGCCTCCTCCCTCCCCTCTGGTGAACCACCTGGCCCCCAGGCTGCAGCCCGGCACTGACCACACGGCCGCAACAGATTGGTCATTAAAGCGGATGGAGGTGTGGTCTGAGGATAACCATCTGGAAGCTCAGGCTTGGTGTCAGAGGTCCTTCAGGTGTCTGTCAGCTGCTCAACGGGCCTGATGAACATCACAGACTGTAGCAGCCAGAGGCCTGGACGGGCTGTGCTCGAACTGTCCAAACACTCGCCAGGCAGCCATTTTTAGGGCTGGAACTAATGATAATCTTTTTATTACTGATTTTCAATTAAAGGAGTAATAGTTTAGTGTATAAAGTGTCAAAAGATAGAGAAACCACAACATTGCAGTTCTTTATGTCTTGTTTATGTTTGACAAAAAAAAAAAATCAGATTATAATGTCATTTGTCTAATTTGAGAGGCTGAATCAGAGAATGTTCTGTGTGTTTCACTATTTTAGCGAGAACAATGACGGAAAAAACCTATTTATCAATTATTTTCTGTTGATTAACTGATCTAATGGATTCAGCTCTAGATTAATCTGACAGATATTGATTTTTAGTTTTAGCCTAAAAAATGTCAGGAAATAATAAAATATGTCCATTAGAGCTGTAACTAACGACTGTTTTCATAATTGAATAACCTGCTGATTATCGTCTCAATTGATCGATTAGTTGTTTGGTCTATATAATGTAAGAAAACAGTGGGAAAAGGCCAGTTTCAGACTCCATGAGAACGTCTTTAGATGTCTTAAGCCGTCAGATCAACAGTCAGAAACAGATACTCAGTTTACATTTACACAAACCAGACAACAGCAGCAGATCCTCACATCTGAGAAGATGGAACCAGAGAATCATCATTACAGTTTTAAATAACTGTTAACAGCATAGGGAGGCTGTGTACGAGAACAGCTGGAAGGATAATGCATCTTAATCACTCTATATATAACAGCAGACTAGGATCAATGTCAGACCACTTAGCTCTCAGTCCAGTGAGTCAGACCTCTTTGTCTCCTCTTGTAAAAACAAAACTAATGTCTGAGTCCCACAGTTAAACAACATATTATTAATCTGTAGAAGAAACCTAACCAAAGAAGTGACAGAAAAGTCTCCAGTCAAGCAGGATATGATTGTTTTAGAGCAGCACAGCAGGGCGGGTTTGATTTAACTTGCTGTGTTGTTGGAGGAAACGAGCCAAACCTGTAGTTTTACAACCTTTGAGTGATGGATGCGGGTTTTATGAGGACATGTTATCAGACGGGCCTGGACTGACAAGATGGCATCAGTGATTAGGTCGAAGATAAAGCCGTTTGTTTTCGATGACAGTCATTAAACTGTAAAATAAATACCCAGGTACAGCTACCGTCGTGTTCTAGGAAGGCCGGGTCACCCTGCAGCCAGCTAGGCGGACAACAATTAGCTCAGCAATGACACAGTGGATTCCTGTCGAGAATGTAAACAAAAACGGCCGCTTGAGCTCAGTGGCACCACGTCCTCAGTGCTAAGCTAACGTTAGCCGCAGGAGCGCATGGTCTTGGGGAAGCACACCAAATATTCAATAATCAACACAGTGGCTCCATTTGAATCTGTCGGTCCATAAACAATTTGGAGACCGGATAATAGGACAACCAGGGGAGGACATTGACTGCAGCTGGAATAACCCCCCCAACGTCCGGACTCACCTCGAACTGCCAGTGGGCCGCCTGGAGGAGCTGCTTCGCCTGATCGGCAGCGCAGCCGGCCGTCAAAACAAACTGATTGATCATCACTTGGTGCCTGAGTTCGTCCATATTCACCGACATGGCCTCTTCACGCGCTTTAATGTCGAAAACAAAAGAAAAAAAATGAAATCTAGACTCGGATCGACTCCTGTGAACCTTCAGACCCAGCCTGTCTCCGTCCGGCTCCCACCGCTGAGTCTCTGCAGCCTCCAGCAGCAACAACAATATTCTCATGTCATCACCAACAACAAAGAGGACGGCGACGCTGATTGGACGACTCGGGAGCCAGAGAGTACGAGCGAAGCGTTGATTGGCTGTCGTGGTGAAGCGTTTAAATTAATCGGTGCGCTTGTTTTACTCTCATGGACAGTGCCGGTGAGTGGAGCGAGATAGAGTTTCAGTCAGTGATAACCACTCCGCCCTCTGCGGTTTTCCGATGTAGTTGTACACGCGCTTTATTCATGTCCGTTACACTGGCGTCATGTGTTTTCATAGAGCTGATTGGCTGCTTCCTTTGGCAGGTAAGTAAACCACACACATGTAAACAAAGTAAACACTGATATTTAATAGATCCAGTTGTGGAAGAAATACTTTTATCTTTTACTTAAGCACAGGGAGCAAAACCAAACAAGTAAAAGTCCTGCATTCACAAAAGTGTTACAATCAAAATAAAATTGAAGTAAATAAAAAATGAAAGTAAAAGTAAAAATAATAGTAATAAAAAAAATGTCATAAAATTACTCATTATGCAGAATGGCATACTTTACATATATATGTATATATAAGTATATATATATATATATATATATATATATATATATAATTTATAGCAATGTATATTATATTACATGATTATAGATATTGATGTTTAATGTTGCAGCTGGTATTTTATATACTACTTGATCTTTACTCTTATTTGTTGATTTTATTTTGTATCATTAATCTACCCCAGATAACCAGTAACTACATGTACTGACAATAAATCACTGTATGCACACACAGAAAAATGAAAAATCCAGATTTTTTTTCTACTGGGTCATGGTTCTCATTAGCTCTGTATGTATGGACATCCTCACTGAGGACTGACTGGACCTGACTATGCTCCTGATAGAACGACGCTAATCTTCTTATCATCTGAGTGCAGCTCCTGGCCTGCAGCCTGTCCAGCTTCTCTTTATCTCTGAATAATTCAGCTGTGCTGCAGGTGAAAACACGTGTGACAGAGGAAGCCTATCTATTATGTATTGTTGCAGGATGTTACCTGGATGCTGCGTCGAGCTGGAGAAGAAAAAGAAAGAAAAACCTCTTGTCTCCTGAGGAAAGACTGAACATTTCTACGCCTGAAACAATGATTTCACCACTTGAACTGCAGTTTTCTCTTTTAGCGTTGCGGTTAAAATCATATTTTCCCACAGGGAATGTATCATATGAATTCAGCATGTTCCACTGTGTCACTGACAGTTCATCATACAGTATAATGAGGGAAACAATGAGACCAAGACTTTCATCAAATGCATATATTCTAGGTCCCATTTACACCTGGTATTAACATCTGGATAATGACACCAGATCCACTGTTCTTTGCATTTACACCTGACTGAAAATATAGTGTGAGCAGTCTTATCTTCACGAAGCTGTAAAGATCTCACTGGAGGAGGGAAATCTGTAATTCTTCACTGATCTGTATACATTTTCTATTTCCTGCAGCTGTTGTTCATTCCTCCCTTCTGACCTGAATCAGCTCTGATTGGCTAAAGAGTCACCGAATAAATAATCATATAAATTGACACAGGTTCACTGCTTTTACTTTAAAATGTCACCTTCTATTTAATCTATTACTTGGTGTTTGTAATTATGTATCCTCATTTCCATATGTAAATGTGATATTAACTAAACCACTGTGCGGATTGCACAACCTAACACAAGAAAGTCAAAATTTACTTGGGTACTGGGAGTGAACCTGGCAACCTTGTACGCGCTCATAGTACGCGCTCAACGAGTGACGTCAGAGGAGAGTTTGCGCTTTTTCCCTTCAGAGACACACCTCAACAACAGGAGCATGCTCATGCCGACAGATTTGAACTGCGAATGGCCTTGTCGTTCATTTGATGCGAAAGTTCATGAATGCGAAGCCACTGAGGTAGGTTGTATGCTTGATTAACTTTGTACATTCCTGTTGTTTCGTCGGTTTAAGTCAGTGTTTGTGTACTGAATACTTAACATTAGCTGGTCAGTTTACCCTGCTAGCTAGCTATCGTGTTGGCATGTGCTGCTCTTTGCGACCCTGCCCTCTGCCTGTATTTTTCTTATTTTCTCATGTTTTATCTTACTCGGGAGGCTTCTGGGCTGTAGCCTGTTTGGCAGTGGTGTGTAGCCCCCAACCAATTCATCGCGTCGGTTGTGAGGTCTGGGCGCTGTAAACACTTAGGGGCCGACGGTTACATCGCAGTTTACGTCACTTGAGTTTTACACACAGGCAGAGGGTCTCCTCGGCTGTGGAGGTGTGAGCGGGTTTATTTGTGCTTAGGAATGTAGCCGCCATGAAACAATCGGAAAATAACATTTTATTTCTCTGATTGACTCTTTCTCACTGCTTGCCGACGTTGAATGGTGCGTTTACAAACAATCCTGCATATTTTATGTTCAGACCTATCTGGTAGGATTTTACCTTCAACTTACACCTTTCTCAACTTGACCTGTCAGAATACTGTTGCAGGATGGCTATCATTCTGTTTCTATTTGTTTCATGCAGTTACATATTAACTGCTATAATCTGCTGTTCTCTGCTATAAAGTCACATCTGTCTAACAGCAACATGTTGAAGTCAGAAGAGATGTCATCATCTGCTGCTTGATGTTCTTGGATCTTGGAGTTCCATGGAGAGTCTGGAGAGGAACTCCAAATTTTCCAAATTTGGGATTTTCTGATGATTATTCTGACCATAATTAACTTCTTCTTTCCAACCTAATAATCTAACTTTGATCTTTGTATACTAGTATTATACAGGTAAATAGTCACTCATACCACTTTGTGTGGAGGAAAAAAAACCTTTTTAATTGAGTTTAACAACTATTAAGGCATTAACTAAAACGGGCATTTAGGGTACAGTACTAGTCAAACATTAAGCCTTTCCATGTTACTAGTATAACTTTAGGTCAAAGGTAACAATCCTGTTCTTTAAAACCTAATTAGCTGGCATCAATTGAAAAACCCATAAGGTTATTTAAAAACACTGTTGTTCTGACAGTATTTTCTTAGGCCCCAAGCCAACAAATAATACATTTGTAATAAGTTTTGTAGAAGCCTTATAGTAAGACAATCTTATTGACTGAAAAGTAACCCATGTTATAAATGCATCAAATCCATATTATAATAGTGCTTTAGAGTAGTGGTAGATAGATGAAATATTATGTAAACATTACTTAAATATGTCCTCAAATTAAGTAAAGAAAAGGTAATTAAATAACCCTGAAATACCAAGCATTTTATAGGGGTTTTGTAATTGGATGCAAAGGTAGTCTGAGTGAAATTTACTCGCAAAGGGTGAGTACATTTTATGTCTAAGGAAGAAAATTGCCAGTAAAATCTACTTGGGTATTCTTGGTTTAACAATCCATACTAATAAGTAAACTCGAGGATTTCCTGATCAAAATTACAAAGATTTTCTGTGTGGAAATTGTTAGAGCTTTTTTAAAAAGTAATTGCCAGTCCAAATTTTTTTTGGACTGTGTTTTAAAAGTTTGTTTAGAAGGGTTTAAAATTTAAACTTTCTCAAACTAAAATCATATTTTGAGGCTTGGTAAAGAAACATTTTCATAGGACAAGATTAGAAAGTGATACAAGCCAATTATAAACTATTTAGAGACACTTTTCCCACAAAATGAACTATGTACATTTTAACATGTCAATAACTACACACCTGTTTCATGTAGCATTCAATCTTCTATCTAATGAAAAATACGTTTGCGTGCTCTTGTAATATGGTTATCATGTTATCATGTAGGCCGACTTATGATGCCAAATAAAATCTAATATGAACAACTACATACATACAAGTTATGTTGAGTACAGCTGCAATTACACATAGTCACAGTCTAGGGTCACATACGTTGGATTAAATGGTATGTGGCACCCTCATCTGTCCAACTCTAAGAATTGCACATTAGATTTAAACAAGCTCTAATAAATAATGGGTTTTCTTGCGTTAACAGTTTATACTCATTTTATTTTGACTTAATTAAAAAAAAAAACACAATATGCATAGATGGAATACATTAAATATGAGTGTTTTTATACAGCTTTCATTGATGATTTTACCAAAACAGTAAAAAAAAGTAAAATTTTCTGTCATTTTACAAAAATTACTTTTTGTTATGGCAATAAATTATTGTCAAATACATAAAAATATTATTTAAAAAAAGTACATATACATATTATGTTTATAAACAAAAGTAAAATGTGTTCTACATAATTATAAATTAATACAATAAAACAATTTTATGACACTGTAACTATGTGTGTCTTCTTAACTTTATTTATTTGTGTATTTGATAGGGACAATGCCTGTTAATGAACATCAGTATAAAATACATGATGTAAATTTGCTGGATTGTAAGAAAAATGCTAATTTACATCTGTAATCCCTGAGCATGTAACATAAAACAAAAACATTACAAGTCACAATACGCTACTACAAATGGATTACAGATCTGGTTAGACTTAAGCCAGTGTTTCAGTCTATAGCGTCCATTTTAAACAAAATGATCTGTCAACAGAACAGGACAATGTCACTTTTGTAAATGAATAATAATTAAAATAATAATGAAAAAATAAAATAAAAAAAACCTGCCTGGTGAGAGGAAATATATTGTCAGACAGAAAACAAGCATATATTACCTTGATTTAAGATACTTCATCCTACTTATACTTTACTTTTCTGTGTACCTGCTCTTCCTCTTTCATCTCCATCACCTTCTCACTTTCCTTTATCGCCATCTCCCCATCTTGTGCCGTATCTGTAACGAATAATAAAAACTGTAAAGGACTCAAGAGTCAGGTCGGCCCACATCAACATGCTCTAAACACTGGTAATCATAGCGGCAGCTCTTCATTGAGTACCAGATCAATTGCTGTTGCGATTCCCATTGTTTGTCTTCGTCACTCCCTTTAATGAATTAAATGCATTTTCATTCATATCTCACACTGCACTGTAAGATTTGGTCTCCTGATTCATCTGTTTTATTCAATTTTAACAAAAACAATATTTATTTAATCTTATTTTTATCCTTTGTGGTTTGTGTGTCCTTTATAGTCATAATGCCTTTTAATGCACTTTGAATTGTTGTTTAAAGCGGCAATACAAATAAACTTGCCCTGTATTATCTGTGTGTGTGTGTGTGTGTGTGTGTGTGTGTGTGTGCGTGTGTGTGTGCGTGTGCGTGCGTGCGTGCGTGCGTGCGTGCGTGCTCTCTCCTTTCACTCAAGTCCAGCTGCATTGTCCTCTATAATCCCTGTGGGTCCTGAGTCAAGTCCGGCCCTCCCTGACCCTCCGCTCCATGAGGTTACTGTGGTTGGCTGCTCCTTCGCTGACCTCTGACCTCTGCTGGAGGTGCAGTGATGGTGCCAGGGAGGGACAAGGTCTGTCTGAGGACTCTGACATGAAGGAGTCTGTCTGGTCTGGAGCTCAGACCTGTCAAGGTTCAAACAATGAGATGAGAAGAACGGGACACAAAGAAGTCAGGAGTGGACTGAAGACTAGGACCCGCTCTTGTAAAATTATAAGCTTTAAATCCCTATCCCACTGACTTTACATCATCTGATAAGAGTTGAAGAAGATAAACCGCAACTTTTATGACAACTGATGGATAATCTGAACTATGAACTTTCTCTAATGGGATGATTTCCACTTTCATATCTGTGTTTTTGTGTTTTTGTAGGTGGATCATCTGGAAAAACGCGACTGTGCTTTTAATCACAGGGAAAATGCATAGCAACATTCTGTGAGGTCATCATCATTTACGTCTTAATGATGTCATGAGGTTTATCTAATCTCAGGGAAATAAAGTTGTTTTCTCATGACTCATAACTATATAATTACTTTGAAAAAAGAAAAAGTAATTTTCTTCAGATAACAGAGTAATTATCTAGTTACTTGATGAAAACATATCGAATAAACTATAAATATTATACAGCAGTCAGTGATACGACTCGTTTAACTCAATTCCTGCGTGTCTATGATATCATGATTATGTTATTTGATCTCATACACTCAACAGTTGGGCCAAGATAGCCTAATACTGCTGTATGAAATAACTTGAGACCAAACCAAATACAGAAAAAATGTAAAATTCCCCCAAACTATTATATCTTTGAAATATCTCTTTAACCACATCACATACATTTAGGCTCATTTATGTGATCTCCTTTTGATAACGAATGTAATGACTCGAAATTTTTTCCCTTCCATTCACTGAACCTCACCTGAAACAGTTTGGAGCCGCCCTGGTGAGGCCCACTTTGAAAACCTATGTATTAGAGTATCTTCACATTGTGTTATTACTTTTACGTAGGTAAGAGGTCTGAATATGTCTCCCACTGCAAATACGTAAATTAAATATTACTTCATCTGATACATATAAAACACATACGTTGTGAAATCAACTCGTCCAACCACCTGTTTGATTTCAGTCCATAAAATTGTTTCTCATTTAAAGGAACATCCTTCTTACACAAAATGTAGTTTTCTATACATGAGTGCTGCTCCTTCACTTTTTTTGATTAATGTTTCATAAAAACATTCTTTGACAGCTGGAACTGGAGAATGATCAAACCGCGTCACTGTTTCTTGTGGTGCCAGTAAACTGACCTTTTCACCGGCTTCTTCTCTTTATCCAAATGTCTTCCCATTCATTTTGAGGTTGATCTCCAGAACTGTGAATGAAACATGTTTTACATATGACAGACAGTAGTCAAGTTAAATAGGATTTGTTTTACCCCCCTTCTCCTCCCTCAGAGCAGTGTGTGTGTAAGCAGCGGTGGAGATGAGCCTCTGTGGAGTGTGTGACCCATTAAAAGCAACAAGTTGTCAGCAGCACACGGTGCTCCACGTCCAGCCTTGAAGAGACGTCAGGAGCGGGCAGATAAGGAAGCCTTTTTATTGCTTTACAGTTGCCTTTGTGAGGGGCCTCAGGAAACCACTCAGCCACACTAATAGAACGTTCAGGGGGCCAAACCTTTTTGTTTCGCCTTTCTCTCCTTTTCTGTCTTATGAACAAAGTACATTCCTTCACACACACCCCCACCCCCCTGTAAGTCCAAACACTGGGTCCAACTTTTATTTTGTCACTGATTCAATATATTCAGAGATGACGCTGTTTGACCACATGATGTTGTTTGTTGTCATCATATGTGGAGGTCGTGGTCAGAGGAGTAGAGCAGTGGTGGTAGAATATTCAGAGTCTTTACTGAAGAAAAAGTAGAAATACAATAAAGTAAAGTATTATCGGCTTCAGGTAGTTAAAGTATAACCAGTAAAAGTACTCAAACTGGTTTAATTACATTAAATACAGTGAGTTTAGTACAGTGGTTCCCCTCCTGAGGACTGAGGTGGAAAGTAACTAAATATATTTACTTGTGTACTAATCCATGCGCAAATGTAATATATGTACATACATTGAATGTCCATATATGAAATATATGCACATATTACATAAAAAAACATGTAAAAAATATATATGAAACCTATTAGAAATTGGAATAATTTCATATTATATAGGCCTATATAAATGTAAATCTGTGTGTGTGTGTGTGTGTGTGTGTGTGTGTGTGTGTGTGTGTGTGTGTGTGTGTGTGTGTGTGTGTGTGTGTGTGTGTGTCCCCTCAGCCGCCTCCAGTGTGAGCCGCTTCAGACCAATAACAGACTCCCTTCTTAATGATTTCATTCAGTCTGTTGGCATCCTTTGCTTTGATCTCTGCACTCCAACACAGCACTGCAAAGAATATATGCCTATTTTCTAATCTTTAATCCTTTTTCTTTGTCACATAACAGGTAATTTTGCAGTTTAAATCAGACAATATGAGAAGTTTAGATGTGAAAAGTCTCTATTGGAAGTGAAAACAAACATCTGAAACATGACAGAAATTACACTGATTTCTATGAGACAAAAAGGCTGAACAGATGCTATAATCTTTTAACAGTGTGTTGTATTTAAAGATGATCGTGTGTTTTAATGTCTCATATTGAAAAGTTATTCACTGCAACACAACAGAAAACTTATAGTTAAACGACAATCAGAGTCTGTCCTGTGTTTTATCAAATTCATTTAGTTTAATCGCTGTAAAATTAAAGTAATTAGTTCAAGAAAGAAACCTAAGCTGGTCCCCTGGTGTGTCCCCGGGCCTCAGTTTGAGAACCTGCACCGCAGCAGCCACAGTTGACTTGAGAGTGATTAAAAATGAAGCGCTATAGAAACCAGCAGGCCAATGGAGGAGCGGGAAGCTGTTTACAAGGGGGTGTACCGTTTCTATGGTTGCTAGACAAACCTCCTGCACCAGGTATTAAACTGCCTCCCCGACGGATCCTGCAGCCCGCTGACACCCGCTATAAAGACCTCCGCAGAGGAGAAGAAGCGGCCAACACAGCGCCAAAATCCCTCCGCAGGAATTTCTTTTTTTTTTTCTTTCTCTCAGTCACAAGTTGACGACAGGTGCTCTGCGATCAGGCCGAGGCTGGAGATTCAATAAGTGCTGCTCGTTTGGGATTTAACGGATCTCTGCTCGACAGCTGAAAAAAAGTGAGTTTGATGTTTATTCTAAATAGATTAGAAAAATCCCCCTGAATCTATTTGACCTGTAAACTGTTCAGAAGGCCTAAAAATATCCGAGCCAGCATTAAACACAACATTTAACTAATTATTATTATTCCACTGATAAATGAAATATGACACTGCATAGGCTAGTATATTCATTTATTGTTTGCATTAAACGTTTTACTGCAAACTAAATGAGCTCTTTAGTATCTTTAACTAAACGTTCCTTTGCCGCCCTGATGAGTTTATGCAATAAATCATTTAAACTGCGTGACTGATGTTCAAATTAGATTATAACAGTATTCGATGGTTTTAAATTTAAAAAAAAAAAAAATTTTTACCCTTTATAACCTTGTATTGGCTAAACGCCTCAGGTCGTTAAGCAAGACCTGCGCTTCTTTACGCGTCAAGTGCGCAACAGAGTTTTTCAGGAATGTTCTATGACCTGAGAGAAAACAGCTCCTGGTCATCAAGACGCGGGCTTTTAGATTTTCAACATCCCCTGATCAGTCAGACATCCAGGTGACAGACGAGAATTAGGGTGTAAATCTACAAATCTGAAAGTCTCTCACTTTATGCACACGGGGCCTCTGTTTTCAAATAGGGCCATCATTGTCCTGTCCGTTCGCACTTTATTGAAGCTGGGTGTGTATTTCCTGTCAGGCGGTGGCACGGGGTGGAGGAGAAGGAGCTGGGTGACAGAGAAGAGAGAGGTGTTGGACAGAGCCATGCTGTCTCTAAGCTGCGCCGACCCCTGGCCCGAAGGCTCGGTGGGGCTTGAGGAGGAGGTGGTGACCGCCGCTGCACAGGCTGAGGAGCGGGACAGCGGCAGCATCCACAGCGGTGACAACATCAGCAGCGGCTGCAGCAGCCTCGTCAACCTGGACGACAGCCTGACCAGCCTGCAATGGCTGCAGGAATTCTCCATCCTCGGTGCCAACGTGCCGCAGCAGGTCCACCACCAGCCGCACCTGTTCGGACACCAGCCGCTGTGCTCCGACGCCCCGGCCTCCCCTCTGGCCGGGGACCCCGCCTCTATCGGCATGCCCCTGACCCCGGGCAAGCCTACAGCGGCTGCCTACAGCAGGATGCAGCCCCTTCCCGGCATAGTGGCTCACGGTCACTGTCCTGATGAGGTGGACTACAAGACCAACGCGCACATCAAGCCGCCATACTCGTACGCCACCCTGATTTGCATGGCCATGCAGGCCAGCAAGAAGAGCAAGATCACTCTGTCCTGCATCTACAAGTGGATCACTGACAACTTCTGCTACTACCGCCATGCTGACCCCACCTGGCAGGTAAACGACCACACACACACACACACACACACACACACACACACACACACACACACACACACACACACACACACACACACACACACACACACACAGTAAATACAATACACTCTTTAAAAAAGAAAAGGATGTGTCATTGCCATCACAATTTCCACTGTGTGTAAATGAGTCTCTCTCTCTCTCTCTCTCTCTGTCTCTCACTCTCTCACACACACACACACACACACACACACACACTTTTCTGGGGTCAAATCTCAGCTGGGCTTATGTTTTTTTTTACTTTAAAGAAAAGTGAATAAATCCATTTCAGAGGAACACAACACACCAAGAGGTCTGGGCCTGCTGCCACAGTCTGATGAAGTATTAGTGACTTGGCTGTGTTTAATTAATAACTCCTGAGGGACCAGCAACACCTCCATCAGTTGCACTAAACCTTCACAGAAAACCTGAAACATGCAAGTTATTACCTTTTAAACAATGCGTTTGCGGCTCACAGGTTTTTCTGCTTGAGCAAAGAGAAGTGATGGAGGAGTTGGAGGAGTTGGAAGGTTAGAGGGGGGGGGCAGAGTCCCCATCGAAGGGGCAGGAATTTTGAAGAAAAGTTTAATTTTGCTGGATAAATGATTGATGAAGCTGTTAGCTGTACTCCCGTGTTTCAGCGTCTGGCTCAGACATTTCAGAGCATTCTGTTATTGTATGGCAGTACATGGGGCAGATAATATTTAACATAGGTCACCGGGTCACTGCTCCATTTAGACTTCACTGAAGGGGGGTGAGGTGGGGGGCAGGTGGGTGAATGCAAGGGTACTGTGATGTATCTCTACTGCCTGCCTTACATGGGAATTATCATCAGTTTAAAGGAGTAGTTTGACAAATTTGGGATCTGCATTAATTCAGGGGTTGGATGAGATGTTTGATCTCACTTTCAGGTCTGTACGATAAATATGAATCTACAGCCAGAAGCTGGTTAGCTTAGCTTAGCGTAAAGACCAGAATTAGAGGGAAACAGCTAGCCTGGCTGTGTCCAAAAGCACAAAAACCTGCCTACCAGCACTTCTAAAGATGACCATGTTACATTTTTTGTTTTACTGGTAAAAACAGTGACTTCTTGGAGTCTTATATCACCGAACGTTTACCAGGCAGCTTCTTCAGCCATTGTCTGGCACATACTTCAACCCCCTTATAAAATCACAAAGTGCCATAAACACACCTTGGTTGATGTATGGATTAAACAAACAAGATATATGTTAATTATTAAGCTTTAAGGCTTGATCACATCAGCATTTAAAACAAACAGTGAAGTCATTTCATTTCAATGCTCTATCTAGTTTTACTGAAGCTTCTCTGACAGTCTCAGAAAGAAAGTGAATGTGTTTTTCCCAAAATGTCAATCTATTCTTCCTGGAGTAAGTTGTAAAAGCCTGTTTGTGAGCTGTCATGTGAAAATCTATGTTTTTAGAACTCCATCCGCCACAATCTGTCGCTCAACAAGTGCTTCATCAAGGTGCCGCGGCAGAAGGACGAGCCAGGGAAGGGGGGTTTCTGGAAGATCGACCCGCAGTACGCTGAGCGCCTCCTGAGTGGCGCCTACAAGAAGAGACGAATGCCACCGGTCCAGATCAACCCAGCCCTGCAGAACAGGCTCAGGGTCAACCTCCAGCCCCAGTCCAGAGGCCCCTGCAACCTCACAGGAGGTCAGATCGGCCTGTGCATCAACCCAGAGTCGCAGCGGCTGCTCCAGGAGTTCGAAGAGGCAACCGGCGCAGACCAGAACTGGGACCCCCATCTGGCTGAGGGGACCATGCTGGGGTCCTGGCCGGTGGTCAGGGGAAGAGGCGGGCTCAAGAGGAAACAGTCGGTGGGCTCCAGAAATAGCGCAATCAAAGCCCCCCGGCGCTCCAGCTCCCCACTGCTCTCGGTGGATGAACATAAGGAGATCGGACCTCTGAAGGGTGACTTTGACTGGGATGCCCTGCTGGACTCAGCCCTCAGCGGGGAGCTCAGTTTGGAGGGAGGAGAACCACTGAGCCCCATCATGAAAGAGGAAGACCTGACAGTGCGGGGGACCCACATCTGCCCTGTTGAAGCCCCCGCAGGGACGGCGGATATCCATGTGTTGGTAGAGACCCAAAGGAGTAATGACGTGTCAGACTTTGATGAGGAGACCTTCCTCGCCACAGCCTTCCTGGAGAGCCCCTGGCCCGAAGAGGAGGAACAAGGCCGCAACGATTTCCTCTGTAGCTCCACCGTCAACCTGGACCAGCTGTTTGACCTTGGAGACTCATTAAGTGGAGACCCCAGCACCCGGATTGACACCCTCCTTTGAGGAATAGTTGCCTTCCAGGTTCCCTTTCACACAAAAACCCTAAAAACCCTTCACATTGCGACTGGGGAATAACAGACTTTTTTTTTTTTTTTACACTTAAGCATCCCTCGTTTTGCTTTTCAAGTTGTTTAAAGAATTTTTAGAATTACATTTTGATTCATGCAGGAACTACACTCCCAAAGCCTCCTGAACAAAGATGCCACAATTTACAGCAGCAGCTCACATCATCATGGGGAAAACAAAACTGTTTTGAACCATGAAATGACTTCAGACAAACAAAAATAAAGTTTTCAGAATTAAGGCCTGGTCACACCAGAAGGTGGGATGGTGAAATTAATCTGTATCTTTGGGAAAAGTGCTTCCTGTTGGCATTTTACTCTCAGGACTGTACATCATTTCATTCAGTAATGAGTTTTATTGAAGGAAAAAAAAAAAGCTAACGTTCTTGCTAACTGTCAACTGGCAGCATGCATGTAGCCACTAGGCCTCGCTGCCAATTTGTCCCTGTGGCCAACTGCGGTTCTACAATGAAATCATTTTCCCCACACACCATTAGAGGAGAAAACTGTTAACAGGACACCTCCAAGTGCAAACAGGCTAATTATTACTATAATAATAGAAAAGCTTAGAAAAGTGCAAACTGCAAACCCCAAAAATTAAAAACCTTTTTGATATATAACTTCTCAAGCAATTGTCTTTTAAGTGAATAGGAACCATCTTGGAAACTGGTATCCAGTTCGTATGGTACCAACAGTTTGAAAGCTTGTTACGAGAGTTACAGACATGTCAACAAACTGTTGGCTGCAAATGCTCTACCATGTTACATCAAAATAAAATCCAATAGAAACACAATCCATTCAGCTCATTTTATAAAAGCTATACACTGTTTGTCTCTGGTTTCACTTATTAACAATAAGATACAAATAAAAAACACAACAAAAGAATCTAAGGTGTAGGACTAACCACCTTATTTATTCCTTCTGCTGAAATTATGCGAATGCAGCATGAGAGCATCCTATAACAGCGTCCTCCATTTTGGACCCTTAGTTCTGTGAATTCACCAAATATTTGAGCAGATTTCTTTGCCACCGCGCTGAATTAATTGATTTCACTACAAATGTTTGCCACTTGAAATGGTGTGAACAGGCCTTTAGCAAGAAACAACCTGGTCTCTGTTTACATAGTAAAAAGTGTGATTCATGTTGTTGCTGTAAACCACATCAGGCTTCACTCTGGGGGTAAAGAAGAAAAAGATATTTTCAGCAGCATTTTAAGAGGAAGATTTATCGGCATCTGAGGTGTTTCTTGACAGAGGTGAATTTAAATGTGAAGAGTCAAAACACATTTGTGGCTGAGAATTATGTACAGACTGACAGCAGCACTATGATGACGAATAATAAGATATTTGCCAAATAATGTTTGGTGTAGGACTGATTTACTGTATTAGCTTTTAGCTTTTTTGCGTGTGGTTTTTGGTACTAACTATTCTCTGTATGCATTTTTCAGAAATAAGTAGGTCCAGTTTAACTAGATTAATAATAATTATGCAGGATATGTTTTTTTTTCAAGGGGAAATGAAACAGAAAGTTCTTTTTTTTCATATCACCTTATCAGAAATATTTCTTGTAGAAGTTCTTGTAACCACTGTCTTTGATCCTGTGACTTTCTAGCTGAACAGTAGATAAAAGCAAAGTGGAGGACACACCTGAGCTTCATGTCTTCAAAGTTAAAATGGACACAAAACAGCTTGAGGCGAAAGAAAAGAAAGAACTATTAAGATGTTAAAATGCTCACTTGAGAGAGGCCATTGTGCCTTGTAAATGAATACCTGACCTTCTATGTGCCAAGAACAACACTTGGGACTCGACAGGGTGGCAGTGTTAAGAGGCTGTGTTTTTTTATTACGAAGAGGAAACGTGTTGTTTTTGTATTGGTGAATGTGAGGAGACTGAGAATGATGGGTAAATCAACAAAAGATCTAATGCAGCTCAGTGATGTCATTGGATGTGGACTAACTAAACCAAATCACTCCACTGTAAACAAGTAGAGTCTTAACTTTATAGATTCAGTAATTGCTCGTGGTTTCCTCTAAAATGTGTGAAAGTGCAATCAGTGTACAGTGGTACTTGTTATATTTTACATTCAGTTGTAGGAGTGTATTCATGCAGTTTACTATAGACAAACCAGTTTCACAATAATTTGTACTATAAGGTGTGAATACACTCTGACAGGAGAAAGGACTCTGTAAAAACAAAGCAACCACGATGCGTTTGTGTATTAGCTCTTCTTGATCAAATAACATTTATAAACCATGATAATGGCATCTTACCTCATGATTGGTTCTGTAAAGTCAGAGACACTGTATGCATCCTTTTACTTTACTGTCATTATTTTATTTTCCACTTTTCGTTGACAATAAAAAAGTCTTACTGCATGTTACCTGTCTAAATATTACATTTTCTCTATCGTGGTCTTGTAATCCACCGCTTTGGTCCAGACTGAAATATCTCAACTATTTAATGAATTATAATAACACTTTGTTCAAACATTCATGTTCCCCAAAAGATGAATCCTACTGACTTTGGTGATAGTCACCATGAGGTTGACATTTGTGGTTCCTGAGAACCACAAGATGGATTGTCCTGGATGAATTTACTTCTGATATTCATGGTTCCCAGAGGATAAATTCTAATGACTTTCCTCGTCCACTAGCAGCTCAAACTTTTCACAAAAGTGAAATATCTCTACAACTATATAATTGAGTGGCATAAAATTTTTGTACAAATATTCATGGTTCCCAGAGGTTGAATACTACTGACTTCCCTGATCCTTTGACTTTGTCTAGCGTCACCATGAGGTTGACATTTTTATCTTTATTGAAATATCTCAACAACTGTTGGATGGACTATCATAAAATTTGTTTCAGACATTCATGTTCCCCTTAGGATGAACTGTAATTACTTTGGTGGTCATCTGACTTTTTGTCTAGTGTCATCAGGTCAAAATGTATTTTTTGCAATACTGTATTATAGTTTATGATCAAAACTTTGTGATTCATAACTAACATTCTCATCTCTGCACTTTTTGCTTAGCATGCTAAAACAGCAAGCTAAGAAGGTGAAGATAGTAAACACACTTGCTAAATGTTAGCATGTTAGCACAACGATGTTCGAATTTAGCTCAAAGCAAACCTGTAGACTCTTCATCTTGTTTTTTGCTATGCTGACGACACCCTGATCTACATCATCCAAGTATAGTTACTACAAGCAAACTGATCTCAATACATCAACAAAAAACCTTTATCCAGCTGGATGAGAATAAATCTGAAGCCATATTATTTGGACCACATTGTTTAACCTCCTGTTGTAGATCGTAAATCAGGTTTCAATCATTTCCACATTGATTCCAAACTCAGATAAATTCTCTGTACCTCTGCCCTCATATCTTCCTGAGATGGTGAACATGGCAAACACTGTAAACCTGTTAGCATGTTAGCGGTGAAATACAGCCTCACAGAGGCACAACATGCCTGGAGACTTGTTTTCTTCTGCTTGCTGTCTTGCAATTTCCCCCATCATCCCCCTCTGCTTTAGTGTGCTTGTGTGTGAGATTTACGTTGCTCTTTTCCTGCTCATCTCTTTTGGGCCCATGCTGTGATCAGGCAGTGGATGGGTAATAGTAGCAGGGGGTGGCTGGGTTTCTCTTTCAGGGCTTTGTCTGTGCTCAGTCAGACTCTTGTTCCCCATAGCGCTTGGATCTGTGGTCCTTCATTGGGTCGGTGTGGGGTCTAACAGGGACAAGTGTCCCACGGCCCCATATATCACTGCCTGTCTGCCCCGCTGTAGACCACACCGTCTCTCTCTGACCCTGCTGCAGATTAGCAAGGTGGCTCGCGTTCAGAGAGTCAGATGAATAGCCATAGTAATCAAATGCAAATACGTAAAATTTAAGAAGCCAGCATCCCCCGGGGTCGTGGACAGACGGGCTGTCAGCGAGTCTGTAGTCACTGATGAGGTAATGATGGCTAAGAGATGAAGGGCAAAGATAAAGTGCTGTAATGCTACACCTCTGTATGATGGACACCCAACACTCTGCTGGAAGGGCAGGATCCTGCATCTTCATGCCCAGCCTGAGTGCTTTTTTCCTGGAGAAGAGAGCTGACGTTTCCCCTTCCCCCCAGCCTGAGCTCCCTGCAGGCCCCCCTGGACAGCCATTACCTGCTGGACTTAGCTCTCCAGCTGGATTGCAGGGCTCATAACTATAATGTGGCAGGCTGGTTAGATGAGAGGCCTGTGGTAACCTGATGCAGGTATTATTCCCTGGCCCTGCTGACGGCTGCAGGTAAGAAGAGCCTCCCAGTGAAACGCTAACCCTTACTGCTTGTTCCAACCCCGAAACGCTGCAAACTGAAAGTGCTAAACACCAACACCCAATGTGGCTGGGACGATCATGGAGTTCAACTGATGTGAGCTATGGAAGGCTGATACCAACACCAATGTTTTGACATTTTGTGCCCATATTTGATATTTTTACATGCATGGATTCAGCATTTCTATCAGGTATCTTATTCGCTTTCTAAAACAGCAAATCCACACAAGCTAAAGAGTTCCCTTTTAGTGTTTGAATCAAAAAATATTTATTAGTAATATAAGTCTAATGCCCACTTTCTTTCCACTTTCTGTGATGTGATGGTTTCCTGTTTCATATCATTGTAAACTGAGTATTTCTGGGTTTTTGTGCTGTTGGTAGGACACAACAAGACGTTTGAGGACTTCCCCTTGTTGGTCAGCCGAGTGTGAAATAACCAGCAGATTATCTTCACATTTTGTGGCATTATTCAATAATTTTTAAATACATGGATTTAATGAGTCTTTCTGGTGAAAACTGATGAAAATATCAGTTCCCAGGAGCAGATGTGCATTCAGGATGTGTCTCTTTCTGTTGCCCCACAACTTCACTGGTATTCAACTGGAGAAAGTATCTCAAAGTGAAGGTTGGGCTGGGAGCTGCTGGGAGCTGGGGGTAGCCCTGAAGCTTATCTACAACCAAGAAGTGAAAAAGTGGACGGGGAAGAGACGAGGAATACGTCTTTTTTATCACACAGCTACTGAAAGGCCTGTTTCCTGGGTAACTGCTGGTACCATTGTCATGTAGGGCTGGGGAGGGGGGGCATGGGTGACTTTTGCTGGTCTTACCCAGGCTCTGGGGTTGATTACGGCTGTGGAGCGATGGAGTAGCAGAGAGAAAGAGAGGCTGGATGGAGCCCCAGATTTATTGCGGTGGTGGTTTTGTGAAAGTTCACTTACCTTACCAAAGTGAGGCTCCATGGACTCCCCACTGTCAGAAAAACACCTCCCCAAACCGCACTATCCCCAGTCAGTGGTGGAATTTAGATCCTTTACCAGTACTTCAATGTACTTTCATGATTTTATTGACTGAAAGGACAGCTAGCTGATTTTTTTGTAGCAGGTTAACCATCTCCACCAGGGCCTTAAATATGCACTCAATGGCTGATATCTTGCTAAAGATAAGATCGTTCTAAGTCAAAAAGTCAGCAGCTGACGAAAACATGGAAATAAAGTACTGCAGGATAAAGCTTGGCTCAGTTTGATTATTTCACTCTGAATAATGAGGCGTGCTGCTCAAAAACACCCCTGGACGAGCTACAGAGGTTATGATGATCATGAGGTTTATGCTCATGGTGTTAGGATTAGCTCATGTTGGCCCTGTTTTGCTTGTGTTCTCTGCTTCCCCTTGTGTGTGTGTGTGTGTGTGTGTGTGTGTGTGTGTGTGTGTGTGTGTGTGTGTGTGTGTGTGTGTGTTCAAGCTGGGCGTGGCTTCCTGGATGCTGCTCCTTCCAGTCTCCATCCCGCACCTGCTGTCCATCACACAATCAACTCCACATCCACCTGCAGTATAAAGCCCAGTTCAACTCTTCACTCGTCACCAGATCGTTCTGACTCATTGTGCGGCATAAACGCTAAGGCCAAGCTTTGCTTTTTGAAACCTTTTTACTCTGTGTCTGTTGAACTGTTCATTAACCCTGAGATTCCTGTACCTGTTCCTGTGGATTTCTTTTTACCTGCTTAACTCAGAAGATTCCTGCCTGTTCGTCACACCTGCCTGCCGTGCTCCACTACTCCCAGCAAGATTTAAAATTAAAGAATAGTAGTTTTACAGCTCCTACACAGCAGAGGCTGAATACAAAAGAGTATGGTGTATGTAACCCAACAATATATGAGGAACGCATCTATAGCTGTGTCCCAGTTCAGGGGCCGCAACCTTTGGAGGACGCGGTATACAGAGTGTGGCCCTTCGGTCTGGCCTACGGAGATTTTCACTTTGCGTCACTTTGTTACAACAAATGCATTTTTAAGGCCCTTGATGTTAACAGTTGTACCGTTAGCCATTAGCCCAATACTTACATTTAACAGTGTAATCCTCATGCTCTCTGACGGTGTATTTGCTTTCATTACCAGGGCGCAATGAATCATGGGATAGGTTGGGCCATGAAGGATCCACCTGTTGGAGCCTTTGTTGCCCAGGAAAAGAAGGACACATTCCTCTGCTGAATTTGAAGGAGCCTTTGAAATGGGACAGCCAGGGTGACACCCAGGGTCCTAAATTTCCCAGTTCATTATTCTGTTAACACACTTTAACAATCTTATTGTATTCAGATGAAATTTGACCTGTTTCATGTCATGTTTTTCAGTAAACAGTGAAGTGAAACAGCCACAAAATGAAGGTAAATAGATGTCTGCTCCTCCACACACAAGATAAATCTGAACAGTAAGAGCTCTCACACTTGGTTTCTTTCTCTTTCTCTCATGACTGCTTGTGTTGCTTCGGAAGTGAAAACGTGTCTTATCTCAATGTCACGGCTGTACATGAAAAATCAACATCATAAAACACATGAGAGTAGCTCTCAGGTTTTATGGGCTGCTTCTCTGTTTACTTTAACCATACTCTGAGGTGACCTCTGAAACAAGGATGACACTTTTCAAAGGGTTTGTGGTGCGTTCAACAGTTTCAAAACGCTTAAAAGATCCTATCAATCAGCTGATGTAAACATTAACCTGTGATATTTCTCTCTTTCCTACATTCAGGCATTTAATGAATAATTATGTCTGTGCGCTCAATCCCTTTGTGCCCGTTTCTATCAAAATGCACTAAAAACATCTGCTCACCATAAAAAGTAAAGGTTCTATCATATGGATGCTGATGTGTCCGTGGTGTCAGGGCAATGATTTGTAGATCATTGTATGCAGGATCTTTAGGACGATGGTGGGTGTATGTTTGGGGAGCGTGTGTTTGCATGTTTGCCTGTGTGTGTGTGTCCTGTGTTGCAGTGCAGGCTGATGCCTTCTTTGTCAGGAAGACACAGGCAGAGGGGTAATCCGACATCCATCACAGGCTTAGTGAGCAATA